TAATAATAATAATAATAATAATAATAATAATAATAATAATGATGATGATGATGTAACTGCCTTGGTGCAAAGCAAACTTCACTAAGCTTTAGCCTCATTTTTTGCTATCTGGAAGGGCCTTCAGCTTTACAAAGTTCCCACAACTTTACAACTTGTGGACTTTGACTCCCAGAATTCCTCAGCCAACATGGCTAGCTGAGGAATTCTGGGAATTGAAGTCTACAACTTTTAGAGTTGCCAAGTTTGGAGACCCCTGCATGGGATGGGAGAGAATATTTTATGAAGTTAATGAGAATTTTATGGGCCAGGCTCACAACGGCAGCCATTTCTCAGTGGCTTTCCACATTTCCAGTATCCCCTTGTTCTTAAAAGTAGTTTACTTTTGCCTTATAATTTCATCATGCCTGCTGAGGAATTCTGCGTCTTAAAGTCCATATATCTTAAAGAGGCGAAGTTTAATAAACCCTGGTTTGTAACTAGTATCAGTATTTTCTTGGTACAGGACTGAGCAAAGAAATTATCTGATTCTTCCATACCTTCTCAATCAACTTGATTGTAACATTCTTTGTACTGTTGAGATTCGCTGCAGTAATACTTTTTGAGGCATCGAGGAGAAAGTAGATGTTCATTGTGCCTCCTTTCTTAATGACAATTTTTCGCTTCTGTGTAGAGGCTGGAGAGAAAAAGAAATAATATTCCTATCTTGTTTCCCCAGTTATGTGTAGTTTTGATATACTAGACATTTTTTCCTAGGGAATGAAGGAATTGCAAACTGATAGCACATGATCACTCCCTCACTCAATCAATCAATCAATCAATTAACTGCAATAGTTGATATAAAGCCTCATTTTTGTTTTGTTTTTAATGAATGAAGTTCAGCTGTATTATATATACTGAATTACATTGTATATACTGAACTATATTGTATATCCTGAAGAGCAACAAGGATGATTAGGGGACTGGAGGCTAAAACATATGAAGGTTACAGGAACTGGGCATGGCTAGTCTAGTGAAGAGAAGGACCAGGGGAGACATAGCAATAGCAATAGCAATAGCAGTTAGACTTATATACCGCTTCATAGGGCTTTCAGCCCTCTCTAAGCGGTTTACAGAGTCAGCATATATTGAGTCAGCAAATTGCCCCCACAGTCTGGGTCCTCATTTTACCCACCTCGGAAGGATGGAAGACTGAGTCAACCCTGAGCCGGTGAGATTTGAACCGCCGAGCTGCCGAACTAGCAGTCAGCTGAAGTGGCCTGCAGTACTGCACTCTACCCACTGCGCCACCTCGGCTCTATGACATGATAGCAATGTTCCAATATCTCAGGGGCTGCCACAGAGAGGAAGGGGGTCAAGCTATTTTCCAAAGCACCTAAAGGCTAGACAAGGAATAATGGGTAGAAACTGAACAAGGAGAAATTCATCCTAGAAATAAGGAGAAATGTTCTGACAGAGAGAACAATCAACCAATGGAACATCTTGCATTTGGAAGTAGTGGGAGCTTAATCCAGGAAGTTTTCAAGAAGAAACTGGACTGTCATCTGTCAGAAATGTAACATCTCCTCCTTGGGTTCAGCTTTGGACTAGATGACATACAAGGTCCCTTCCAACTCTGTTAATCTGTATTATTGATTCAACAGTCAAAATGACATTGTCCATCTGAAGAGCCAAAATCACTGGTCTGTGATGATGCCAAGATATATAAAAATGCAACACGCTTTACAAAATACAGGGAAGGCCAAGTGTTTCCATATACACAGGCACCCCAATGACCAAGTACGCTTAATGCACAGAAAATACTGGCTTAACACTGAAGGGGAAAACTACACACACGGTGGTAGAGGCACTACTGAAATGAAATAATGTAGAATAAGGTACAGCTACCACAACAAACTGCTGCAAATTTCATTAATGGAAATTACGACCAGGTGCTATTCCCTTGATAACTAGGAACATCTCTGTATTTTGAGGTGAGATTTAGTTCAGTGCTGCAAGATGGTTCAGGGGAAGGTAGCAGATAGATATGTCTATGAGTAACAGCAGCTGTTAATCTAACAGGCATCCACGGAGAGAGAATGGGGTCTACACTCATGCCCAAGGTATCATGGGTAGAATCTTCTGCCTTGGAAGTATCCCTGAGATATGCTTCCATTTTTCCTCAACTGATGGATCTGCTTGAATATTTAGAAAAATGTTGTGCAATGTCTTAGTTGTGATGCTTTTAACAATTCTCTCATAGAAGATAATCTTTGTAACTCAGGATTCAGCTATAGAGTCCTTGGTGCTTTTAAAAATGTTATTAGGTAACATTATCAGTATCACTGAGTTCTGCTAGTTAACATTCTTGAAAGGAAAGAAGAGTGATTGTAGTTGTCATTTTTTTAAAAAAAACCTAGATAATGGCTTTAGAACAACAGAATTGGAAGGGACCTTGATGGTCTTCTAGTCCAACCCCCTGCTTAGGCGGGAAACCCTACCCCACTTCAGACAAATGGTTATCCAATCTCTTCTTTAAAACATCCAGTGTTGGAGCATTCACAATTTTTGGAGGCAAGTTGTTCCACTGGTGAATTGTTCTCACTGTGAAGAAATTTCTCCTTAGTTCTAAGATGCTTCTCTCCTTGATTAGTTTCCACCCATTCCTTCTTGTCCTACCCTCAGGTGTTTTGGAGAATAGTTTGACTCCCTCTTCTTTGTGGCAACCTCTCAGATATCGGAACACCTCTTGGTGTTCTTTTTTCCAATATTATAATATTCCAATATCCCCTTAAATTGGCCTAGAATATTTACTACTCAGAGAAATTGAGAGCATCTAACGATGTTAGTTGTCGTCTCATTTGTTATGCTAGGAAGAGAATTATCCAAGCATGTTCCATTTACAAAGACTTACAGATATTTCTATTGGCATCTGCCGCTTCAGCAGTTTCAGTCAAAGATGAAATGAAATTGTTGGCAACTTCTTCTGGGGTGTCAAAACTATATGGGTCTGGGAAGGAACAAGAGGAGGCTCAATTAATAACAGAGAATGTTATATTTATAACATTACGGGGCATTCTCTTTTATAAATTATAAAAGAGAATGCCCCAAAATAAACAGAACTTTTTTTAATGAAAACCAGGATTGAAGTATTAAGAAGGGAAATTACACATTTTGCTGTTCTGGGATCCTTTGGGATAAACATAGAAGACTGTCTAGTGCAGGGGTATCAAACTCATGGCCTGTGGGCCAGATGCGTCATGCACTGGCCACGCCCACCCCTGGTTTAGTTAAAGAGAAAAAAGTCACGATACATCACGTGATGGCACGGGTTTGGCTAATGCTACCTGTTTGGTCCATTTTAGGGGCACTGTATGTCATTACATATGTAATTAATATTTCTGTTCTAGTGTATATAGCATTTAAGGGTCCATCTATATGTTTTTAGTAAAAGAATACATTATTATTATTCTCTGAGATACTTTTCTCTACTGTGATTTCCTTGATGACTGTCCACCACCACCCCCGCCCACCCCATAAAGCTGGCTTATTGGTTTGATATTTATTCGTTTAACATTTCCCATGGGATATCATTTCCTTCAGTTTAACCTTTTTATTGGGTTATAAAATAAAATAAGATACAAAATATGAAAGTAAATAGGAAAATGGTGGAAAGGAAGAGGGGGAAGAGAAGTGAGGGAGGATAAGAAAAAAGAAAAAGAAACATTGACTTCCGACTCTCTCTGTTGCAGTAAAACAAGGCATTTGTTCATAGTACTATGACAACACAAAAAGTTGTGATTTGATGCTAATGCCTTAAAGGTAAAGCTTCCCCTCACACATATGTGCTAGTCGTTCCCGAGTCTAGGGGGCAGTGCTCATCTCTGTTTCAAAGCTGAGGAGCCAGCATTGTCCGAAGATGTCTCTGTGATCATGTGGCCGGCATGACTAAACACTGAAGGCGCATGGAACGCTATTACCTTCCCACCAAAGGTAGTTCCTATTTTTCTACTTGCACTTTAACATGCTTTTGAACTGCTAGGTTGGCAGAAGCTGGGACAAGTAACGGGAGCTCACTCCATTACGCAGCGCTAGGGGTTTGAACTGCCGAACTATTGACCTTTCTGATCGACAAGCTTAGCCACTGAGCTGCAACAGAGAGAGCTGGAAGTCTCAATATTTCTTTTTCTTTTTTTCTTATCCTCCCTTGGAATATCATTTCCTTGGAAACACAATTCATCCCCACCTTGTTNAAGGCTAGACAAGGAATAATGGGTAGAAACTGAACAAGGAGAAATTCATCCTAGAAATAAGGAGAAATGTTCTGACAGAGAGAACAATCAACCAATGGAACATCTTGCATTTGGAAGTAGTGGGAGCTTAATCCAGGAAGTTTTCAAGAAGAAACTGGACTGTCATCTGTCAGAAATGTAACATCTCCTCCTTGGGTTCAGCTTTGGACTAGATGACATACAAGGTCCCTTCCAACTCTGTTAATCTGTATTATTGATTCAACAGTCAAAATGACATTGTCCATCTGAAGAGCCAAAATCACTGGTCTGTGATGATGCCAAGATATATAAAAATGCAACACGCTTTACAAAATACAGGGAAGGCCAAGTGTTTCCATATACACAGGCACCCCAATGACCAAGTACGCTTAATGCACAGAAAATACTGGCTTAACACTGAAGGGGAAAACTACACACACGGTGGTAGAGGCACTACTGAAATGAAATAATGTAGAATAAGGTACAGCTACCACAACAAACTGCTGCAAATTTCATTAATGGAAATTACGACCAGGTGCTATTCCCTTGATAACTAGGAACATCTCTGTATTTTGAGGTGAGATTTAGTTCAGTGCTGCAAGATGGTTCAGGGGAAGGTAGCAGATAGATATGTCTATGAGTAACAGCAGCTGTTAATCTAACAGGCATCCACGGAGAGAGAATGGGGTCTACACTCATGCCCAAGGTATCATGGGTAGAATCTTCTGCCTTGGAAGTATCCCTGAGATATGCTTCCATTTTTCCTCAACTGATGGATCTGCTTGAATATTTAGAAAAATGTTGTGCAATGTCTTAGTTGTGATGCTTTTAACAATTCTCTCATAGAAGATAATCTTTGTAACTCAGGATTCAGCTATAGAGTCCTTGGTGCTTTTAAAAATGTTATTAGGTAACATTATCAGTATCACTGAGTTCTGCTAGTTAACATTCTTGAAAGGAAAGAAGAGTGATTGTAGTTGTCATTTTTTTAAAAAAAACCTAGATAATGGCTTTAGAACAACAGAATTGGAAGGGACCTTGATGGTCTTCTAGTCCAACCCCCTGCTTAGGCGGGAAACCCTACCCCACTTCAGACAAATGGTTATCCAATCTCTTCTTTAAAACATCCAGTGTTGGAGCATTCACAATTTTTGGAGGCAAGTTGTTCCACTGGTGAATTGTTCTCACTGTGAAGAAATTTCTCCTTAGTTCTAAGATGCTTCTCTCCTTGATTAGTTTCCACCCATTCCTTCTTGTCCTACCCTCAGGTGTTTTGGAGAATAGTTTGACTCCCTCTTCTTTGTGGCAACCTCTCAGATATCGGAACACCTCTTGGTGTTCTTTTTTCCAATATTATAATATTCCAATATCCCCTTAAATTGGCCTAGAATATTTACTACTCAGAGAAATTGAGAGCATCTAACGATGTTAGTTGTCGTCTCATTTGTTATGCTAGGAAGAGAATTATCCAAGCATGTTCCATTTACAAAGACTTACAGATATTTCTATTGGCATCTGCCGCTTCAGCAGTTTCAGTCAAAGATGAAATGAAATTGTTGGCAACTTCTTCTGGGGTGTCAAAACTATATGGGTCTGGGAAGGAACAAGAGGAGGCTCAATTAATAACAGAGAATGTTATATTTATAACATTACGGGGCATTCTCTTTTATAAATTATAAAAGAGAATGCCCCAAAATAAACAGAACTTTTTTTAATGAAAACCAGGATTGAAGTATTAAGAAGGGAAATTACACATTTTGCTGTTCTGGGATCCTTTGGGATAAACATAGAAGACTGTCTAGTGCAGGGGTATCAAACTCATGGCCTGTGGGCCAGATGCGTCATGCACTGGCCACGCCCACCCCTGGTTTAGTTAAAGAGAAAAAAGTCACGATACATCACGTGATGGCACGGGTTTGGCTAATGCTACCTGTTTGGTCCATTTTAGGGGCACTGTATGTCATTACATATGTAATTAATATTTCTGTTCTAGTGTATATAGCATTTAAGGGTCCATCTATATGTTTTTAGTAAAAGAATACATTATTATTATTCTCTGAGATACTTTTCTCTACTGTGATTTCCTTGATGACTGTCCACCACCACCCCCGCCCACCCCATAAAGCTGGCTTATTGGTTTGATATTTATTCGTTTAACATTTCCCATGGGATATCATTTCCTTCAGTTTAACCTTTTTATTGGGTTATAAAATAAAATAAGATACAAAATATGAAAGTAAATAGGAAAATGGTGGAAAGGAAGAGGGGGAAGAGAAGTGAGGGAGGATAAGAAAAAAGAAAAAGAAACATTGACTTCCGACTCTCTCTGTTGCAGTAAAACAAGGCATTTGTTCATAGTACTATGACAACACAAAAAGTTGTGATTTGATGCTAATGCCTTAAAGGTAAAGCTTCCCCTCACACATATGTGCTAGTCGTTCCCGAGTCTAGGGGGCAGTGCTCATCTCTGTTTCAAAGCTGAGGAGCCAGCATTGTCCGAAGATGTCTCTGTGATCATGTGGCCGGCATGACTAAACACTGAAGGCGCATGGAACGCTATTACCTTCCCACCAAAGGTAGTTCCTATTTTTCTACTTGCACTTTAACATGCTTTTGAACTGCTAGGTTGGCAGAAGCTGGGACAAGTAACGGGAGCTCACTCCATTACGCAGCGCTAGGGGTTTGAACTGCCGAACTATTGACCTTTCTGATCGACAAGCTTAGCCACTGAGCTGCAACAGAGAGAGCTGGAAGTCTCAATATTTCTTTTTCTTTTTTTCTTATCCTCCCTTGGAATATCATTTCCTTGGAAACACAATTCATCCCCACCTTGTTACTCTTCTGAAAGGCCCTGAAGATCTGGTTCTGTCCATCAACCTGGGGACTTAAGGCTGATATGGAGCCTATCAAGTGATTGGTGTGGTTGCATTTCTTGCACTGTCTTGCACTGACAGGGCAGGGTAGGGTTGTACGTTAATGCTAGGAGCATGATAGCTCACGTTGTTAGGACGTTGGGTTGGAGGTTAGGAAACCCACGTTCGAGATCCGGGTGCTGCTGCATGGCAGAGGTGAGCTCCTGTCATTTGCTCCAGCTCCTTGATGGGGACATGAAACAAGCTCCCCCAAGGGCAAGGGAGATGTCACCACCTAATCCTTTCAACCAGGAAGCGCCTTAAATGGTGCTTCCTGGTTGAAAGGATGGCATGTTGTAACCTGCTTGGAGTCACTGCGTGTGAGTTGGGCAGCCATATAAATCTGCTTAATTAATAAATAAATAAACAAATAATAAATAAATAAATAAATAAATAAATAAATAAATAAATAAAGATATTTATTATGAATTCTTGACTGACAATAAAGCAAAGCTCTGAAATTCGACCCAATCGTCGTGTTGAAGTTAGAGTGTTTCTTAAGGTGAATTTCATCAACTAACTCTTAACAGAAACCCAGGGCTGATTTCCCAAAACATTTCTAAACTACTACAAGAAGTAGTAAAAAAAAAATATTCTGCTCATCTGGAAAAAGTCCCTGCAGTTTTCTCAACAAAGTTTTTCAGAAGTGATTTGCATTCTTCCTAGGACTCAGAGAAACTGACTGCCCCAAGGTTACCCTGGCTTCGTGCCTAAGGAACTCATTCCTCCTAGTTTCTAGCCTGATGCCTTAACCACTACACCAAACTGGTCTCAGCTGTGTAATATAAATGTCTTAATATGGCTAGGAAAAAAATTTGCATGGAGAATGAGAAAGTAAGTCAGGTCACCTGACCATGGTTTGGACCTTATATTTGACGCTTGCCTCTGACATAATCCCTGAATGCAACAACCAAACCATGATGAAGGTATGGTATTCCTATTGTAGGAAGTCAGCACCCACCCCTCTCCTAGAAAAATGAAATATTTTAGGAAATATTAAAAGGGCAGAATATTTCCCCTAAACAGAAGTCAGAAACTCAGCCCCCACCCCACCCCCTTTGTCAATGGGCCATTAAGACTGAGCCAATCTATTCTACATAACAAAGATCTACACCTTTCAGATCCAGAGTGATGGGATTAAGACATGGCTCTCAGGACATGATAGGATTAGCCCCCTATCCATCTCACCACATGGCACCTGGCAAGATCATATCAGCCAGCAAGGCTCAACCAAGCCTGGGAGACAAACAGCCTATAAAGTTAGCTAAGACCCCCTCCCCCTGGGAGTCTGACCACCAATGAGAATAGATTTCTTACACAGGAACAGGAAACTCTAAGGTGGGGCCCAGAAAGGGCATAAAAACAGGGCACTCTCAGCATCTGTTCCCTTTTTCCCCAGCATCTCAAGCCATGTGATCTTGTCCACCATTAAAACCATCTTTCCAAACAGTCACCATGTTTCCAGTGTCTTTCTCTCCACTTGGAACTGAACCCAGAAGGACATTTCTTCCAACACTATACAATAATTTTTGTAATCAAGAATTCCTCTCACAACCCCAAGATTCACATTTTCAGTATTTAAGCCCCGTATTCATCCTATCAGGCATTCTTTCCCCTCTGCTCACATCGACACTCTGGTTCTGATCCACTCCAGCTTCCTGATTCTTGGCAAATCCGTTCACTGGATCCAAAAAGAGTGAGACCATTCTCACAAGTGTAGCGGACACTATATTCTATTCGATATTGGTTTCCTTCTTTTCGGCCACCAAGTGGGATCCCCGGGTTAAGGCAATGGCCAGCTAAGTAGGAGAAGAGAGGACCCCATGAATAAATAGTCATTTTGAAATATATATAGCAACAAATATACTATACATATATGAAATAACTTTCAATCCTCAAAAAGCTAAGAATTAAAGCAACAAAAGGTGAGATTCAAAAAGAGAGGAGACACAAAGATGTTGGCCCTGTCTACCCTTGTTCGTGTTAGTTCTTGAGGTAATGAATAATGACAGAAGACAAGGTGAGAGAATTAGGGAGGTTAAGTTTTAAAAAAGCATATACATTGAGGCATTTGCAATGATTTGGTCTTAATTTGGGAAGATCCATTCAAGGGAATAGAAACTTTAATGGGAAAATAAAAGGACTTGGTGTATTAGCAGGTTATAAGATTAATGATCAGAAGACAAAGATGTCAAAAAAATATATGAATTTAGAAGAGCAAATAGAACCAGAGCACTGGTTTTAAGATTGAGAAGAAAATAAAATATTTGGGCATTACTCTGACTAAAAAACTAATGTTTTGCCAAAAATGATGTTTTTGATTCAAACAATAACCAGTTTGATAATTGATGGGCCATTTAAACAATGGCATAAAGATTATCTAAATTTATATGGCGAGAAAAACCACAAGTTACATATAAAGTGTTACAAGATGCAAAGGAAAGAGATGTTTGGCTTTACCAGGTCTGAAATTATATTTCACTGCTTGTTGTTTGGGCTGGATGGAAAAAAAAATGTTGCTACCGAAACAAATGATTTTTAGACCTGAAGTTTGGACAGCATGACTATTTATGGTGTGATAAAGTTAAAAGTAATATGGCCTGAGAGATGCTCATTTTTGGACCTGCTTTAGTGTCTGTGGAGATTACCAGTCATCCAGGTTATTGTTCTTCCAAAGGTGCTTTTTCAAGAGGCAGATGGACTTTCTTGTTTTCATTTGAAGATGTTTTGCTTCTCCTCCAAGAAGTTCCTTCAGAGCTGAAGAAGCTTCTTGGATGAGAAGCAAAACGTCTTCAAAGAAAAACCAGAATGTCCAGTTGCTTCTTGAAAAAACACTTTGGGACCTGTAAATGAAGTGTTGATGCCTCATTTCCACATTGAATACAACCAGGTTTTTCTATAGGAGCATCACACAAGAGCTTGCAAGTTTCAAGGAAACTGACACCCTGCATGATGTCTGAGTGTGCCAGTGTATGGAAATGGGGCATCAGCATTGGTGGTTGATAGTCCATATTGGCTAATGGCAGCTGTGTCTATTGATAGTGGAATATTGATGATAGAAGATTAAAAACTGAAGTGTTTTCGAAGACACAAAAGAAAAGGAAATCTGAAGTGAGAACCGTGATAGGACATGCATGTAATTAATTTTCACACTCACTTCCATCATCACAAATGGTTATTTTTCCACTCCATTTCCCATTGGGAAGGCAGGTGCGGACTTCAGGCCCCTTCATGCTGTATCCCGCGTAGCAAGTAAATGTGATGTTCTGGTTTATATTGTAATATGGCTGGGGTGGCTCATAGTAACCATTTTCAAATTCTGTAACTCTGGGGCAACGAATAGCTGAGAAGAAAAATAAATAATCAGTAAGTAGGATTGAGTACTTCATGGTTATATTCTCTACCTCAACAAATTAATCCTCCCCTCTCCTTCTTGAGCTATTTCAGTATTCAGTGTATGACATTGTGCAGAGGGGTTATCTGACTGGGACTCAAGACCTTGTAACAGAATTTCAGACTTTCTATGTTGCTGAGAGAACCAGCAGGAGAAGGAGGACTGTACTTTCTCCATCCAGCCCACCTTGCTGGTCATTCATAAGAACAACCAGTGTAGTTTCCTGAACCCAGATTGAGAGGAATGTAGACAACTTGCTTCAGTCAAGATCTTCTGTAGAGGCCTACCACCACCTCTGTCACTTTCCCCCAAAAGGGATAACTTGAGATGGGCCAAAAGTTGTCCAGAATGGCTGGACCAAAGGATTACCTCTTGAGAAGTAAACATACCACTAATCTATGGAGATTCTCAATCATCCAGGTCATGGTTGTCCCAAAGGTGCTTTTCCAAAAGGCATTTTAATGTGTTGTTTTTTGGATTTTTTTTTTCCCCTTGAAAATTTTTCACTTCTCATCCAAGAAATGAAGAAGCTTCATGGATGAGAAGTGAAATGTTTTGAAGGGAAACAAGTCTGGTTTGGAAAAGCACCTTTGGGAAAAATATACCAGTACAAAGGTGCTTTTTCAAGAGGCAACTGGACTTTCTGGTTTTTTTGGAAGACATTTTGCTTCTCATTCAAAAAGCTTCTTCAACTCTGACTGGATGGTGGGTAATGGAAGGATTTATCCTCCCACCATCCAGTCAGAGTT